CAAATTTAATAAGTCAATATTGACTTATTAACTACGTGCATAGGTGATATACTTAACATAATAGATACCCTTAAAAAGATTCATAGAAAACACCGACCTTACCTAACCTTGTTAGTTACGAAGCAATAAGATGCTTATCTTAAGATACTAACAAGGTTAGGTAAGGTCGGTGTTTTCTATGAGTCTTTTTAGGGGTATCTATTATGTTAAGTATATCACCTATGCACGTAGTTAATAAGTCAATATTGACTTATTAAATTTGCGAGAACGGGTTGCAACATATATATTATATATATATATATATATATATATATATATATATATATATATATATATATATATATATATATATATATATATATATATATATATATAAAGCACAGTAATAGAGCTCTGCTTGTCAGCTTTTGCAGACGACGCAAAATTACTGATAAGAATTGGGACAGATGAAGACTGTGAACTACTCCAGGAAGACTTGAAAAAAGTAGAGAGGTTGTGAGGGAGGTGGCTAGTGGAGTTGAGTAGCAGCAAGTGCAAGGTGACGAGAGTGGGGAGAGGGGGGACAGAGCACCACCAACACAGTACACAGTGATAGGGGAAGCACCCCACTGAACCCAAGAAGGTACCAGGGGGCACAATATGGGTGTGGTGTCACCAGGTGCAGGTGACACCTGTCCCCAAGTGACTCTCACAAAGGTAACTCCGACATACAACCTTATCAGTGGCAGATTATGGGTGGGGGGGAGGGGGGAATTATCTGCACATATTGTCTCTTACCAAGTGTTTAGTATTATAGTTCAGCTGATTACTCAAACTGTGCCTACCTTTGTGCGGCACGGGACTCCTATTGGCCACCATATACCCTCATGTTGTTGTTGTTGTTGTGGAGTTGCAGAGAAGCAGTTACCCTTGGAGGTGACTCCCCCCTCCCCCCCCCCTCGCCTGGGGCATTGTAGCATACACCTGTTGAGTCTGTCCCCTCCCCCCCTCCCACCCGGCGCCGGAGGGGACACCCCCCTCCTCCCCCCCCCCCGGCGGGGACAGCGCCCCCCCCCCCTCCTCTCTGAACAATAAAGCAGACATTGTAACAACCAGGAAAATTCGGGGGCGGATGAGGGTAGTGTTGAGAGGCAGAACCACCACCACACCCCCGGTGGTGCCGTGTACACCACCACCACCACACCCCCGGTGGTGCCGTGTACACCACCACCACCACACCCCCGGTGGTGCCGTGTACACCACCACCACCACACCAACGGTGGTGCCGTGTACACCACCACCACCACACCCCCGGTGGTGCCGTGTACACCACCACCACCACACACCCCGGTGGTGCCGTGTACACCACCACCACCACACCACCGGTGGTGCCGTGTACACCACCACCACCACACCCCCGGTGGCGCCGTGTACACCACCACCACCACACCCCCGGTGGCGCCGTGTACACCACCACCACCACACCCCCGGTGGTGCCGTGTACACCACCACCACCACACCACCGGTGGTGCCGTGTACACCACCACCACCACACCACCGGTGGTGCCGTGTACACCACCACCACCACACCCCCGGTGGCGCCGTGTACACCACCACCACCACACCCCCGGTGGTGCCGTGTACACCACCACCACCACACCACCGGTGGTGCCGTGTACACCACCACCACCACACCCCCGGTGGCGCCGTGTACACCACCACCACCACACCACCGGTGGTGCCGTGTACACCACCACCACCACACCACCGGTGGTGCCGTGTACACCACCACACCACCGGTGGTGCCGTGTACACCACCACACCACCGGTGGTGCCGTGTACACCACCACCACCACACCCCCGGTGGTGCCGTGTACACCACCACCACCACACCCACGGTGGTGCCGTGTACACCACCACCACCACACCCCCGGTGGTGCCGTGTACACCACCACCACCACACCACCGGTGGTGCCGTGTACACCACCACCACCACACCCACGGTGGTGCCGTGTACACCACCACCACCACACCACCGGTGGTGCCGTGTACACCACCACCACCTCACCACCGGTGGTGCCGTGTACACCACCACCACCACACCACCGGTGGTGCCGTGTACACCACCACCACCACACCACCGGTGGTGCCGTGTACACCACCACCACCACACCACCGGTGGTGCCGTGTACACCACCACCACCACACCACCGGTGGTGCCGTGTACACCACCACCACCACACCCCCGGTGGTGCCGTGTACACCACCACCACCACACCCCCGGTGGTGCCGTGTACACCACCACCACCACACCACCGGTGGTGCCGTGTACACCACCACACCCACGGTGACTGGTGAGACAGGTGTGTGACACGTGTGGTACAACTGCGGGTATAGTGACTGTTGATGCAGTTCACCTTCACTCGTCAACACTTGTGCCTCTACCTTACTAGGTGTGTAGCAGCGACATTGCATATGATCAGTATTACATAACATGTATACTAGTTATGATCAGTATTACATAACATGTATACTAGTTATGATCAGTATTACATAACATGTATACTAGTTATGATCAGTATTACATAACATGTATACTAGTTATGTTCGTATGGTTGTGAGGTGGGTGTACTCACCTAATTCTGCTGGCGGGGGTTGAGCTCTGGCTCTTTGGTCCCGCCTCTCAACTGTCAATCAACAGGTGTACAGGTTCCTGAGCCTATTGGGCTCTATCATATCTACACTTGAAACTGTGTATGGAGTCAGCCTCCACCACATCACTGCCTAATGCATTCCATTTGTCAACCACTCTGACACTAAAAAAGTTCTTTCCAAACGTCCCTGTGGCTCATGTGGGTACTCAGTTTCCACCTGTGTCCCCTTGTTCGCGTCCCACCAGTGTTAAATAATCCATCTTTGTCTAGCCCTGTCATTTCCCCTGAGAATTTTGTATGTGGTGATCATGTCTCCCCTAGCTCTTCTGTCTTCCAGCGACGTGAGGTGCAGTTCCCTCAGCCATTCCTCGTAGCGTGGGCGTGGTGTGCGACACCACACCCACGCCACCCTCTCGGTGTGGCGTGGGTGTGGTGTCCCTGGCAACGGGTGGGGGGGGGGGACGCCGTAACCATGGCAGCGGCCTGGCACCTGGCACCTGGCACTCGTCCTACTGCGCCTCCTGCACCCACCACACGTAAACACTGCTGCTGGTGACGTCTGGTGACGGATAGTGACGGATAGTGACGTCTGGTGACGTCTAGTGACGGCTGGTGACGTCTGGTGACGGCTGGTGACGGCTGGTGACTCCTAGTGACGTCTAGTGACGACTAGTGACGGCTAGTGACTCCTAGTGACGTCTAGTGACGACTAGTGACGGCTGGTGACGGCTAGTGACTCCTAGTGACGGCTAGTGACTCCTAGTGACGTCTAGTGACGTCTAGTGACGTCTAGTGACGGCTGGTGACGGCTCTCAGCTAAGGCCCCGCAACTTGTTCTCTTATAGAAGGTTCAGCTGGTGATTATAGGCGTGTAGTTGAGGTAGTTATAGGAGGCGGTGGTGTCCAGGACGCTGGAGACAACCAGCCAGTATAAGCAGGTGTGGGGCGGCGTGCAGGTGTGGGGGGCGGCGTGCAGGTGTGGGGGGCGGCGTGCAGGTGGGGGAGGCGTGCAGGTGTGGGGGCGGCGTGCAGGTGTGGGGGCGGCGTGCAGGTGTGGGGGAGGCGTGCAGGTGTGGGGGCGGCGTGCAGGTGTGGGGGGAGGCGTGCAGGTGTGGGGGGCGGCGTGCAGGTGTGGGGGGCGGCGTGCAGGTGTGGGGGCGGCGTGCAGGTGGGGGAGGCGTGCAGGTGTGGGGGCGGCGTGCAGGTGTGGGGGAGGCGTGCAGGTGTGGGGGCGGCGTGCAGGTGAGGGGAGGCGTGCAGGTGTGGGGGGAGGCGTGCAGGTGTGGGGGGCGGCGTGCAGGTGTGGGGGGAGGCGTGCAGGTGTGGGGGGCGGCGTGCAGGTGTGGGGGGAGGCGTGCAGGTGTGGGGGGAGGCGTGCAGGTGTAGGGGGCGGCGTGCAGGTGGGGGGCGCGGCGTGCAGGTGTGGGGGGAGGCGTGCAGGTGTGGGGGAGGCGTGCAGGTGGGGGGAGGCGTGCAGGTGTGGGGGGCGGCGTGCAGGTGTGGGGGCAAGGCGTGCAGGTGTGGGGGGCGGCGTGCAGGTGTGGGGGCAAGGCGTGCAGGTGTGGGGGGCGGCGTGCAGGTGTGGGGGGAGGCGTGCAGGTGTGGTGTGGGGGCGGCGTGCGGGTGTGGGGGCAACGTGCGGGTGTGGGGGGAGGCGTGCAGGTGTGGGGCGGCGTGCAGGTGTGGGGGCAAGGTGTGCAGGTGTGGGGGCAAGGTGTGCAGGTGTGGGGGCAAGGTGTGCAGGTGTGGGGGCAAGGCGTGCAGGTGTGGGGGCAAGGCGTGCAGGTGTGGGGGCAAGGCGTGCAGGTGTGGGGGGAGGCGTGCAGGTGTGGGGGCAAGGCGTGCAGGTGTGGGGGGAGGCGTGCAGGTGTGGGGGGAGGCGTGCAGGTGTGGGGGGAGGCGTGCAGGTGTGGGGGCGGCGTGCAGGTGTGGGGGGAGGCGTGCAGGTGTGGGGGGAGGCGTGCAGGTGTGGGGGGAGGCGTGCAGGTGTGGGGGAAGCGTGCGGGTGTGGGGGAAGCGTGCGGGTGTGGGGGGAGGCGTGCGGGTGTGGGGGGAGGCGTGCGGGTGTGGGGGGAGGCGTGCGGGTGTGGGGCAGCGTGCGGGTGTGGGGCAGCGTGCGGGTGTGGGGCAGCGTGCGGGTGTGGGGGCGCGTGCGGGTGTGGGCCGGCGTGCAGGTGTGGGGCGCGGCGTGCAGGTGTGGGGGGCGGCGTGCAGGTGTGGGGGGCGGCGTGCAGGTGTGGGGGGCGGCGTGCAGGTGTGGGGGGCGGCGTGCAGGTGTGGCGCCACAACTGTCTCCCCTACACCTGTTGACCTAATAATTCCTACCTACCATTGCTCTCATAACACCAATAATGTCTTCCATTTCAGTGTAGAGCCCAAACGTTTCAGGTGTGCGTGAGGAGAGTGAGTGTAGCAGGTGTAGACGAGTGCCGCACACCCACCAAGTGTAGAGACACAAGTGTTAGTGTAAGTGTGGCCAAGTGTGGCTGGAGCAGCGGTGGCCAGGAAGAGT